TGAGTATTCCATCAAATTCCTTTGTGAAGGTAGAGTTGCCCTTCTAGTGATCAGTGCATTGTGGCCCTTGCATTTAACTCCTTGTTTCATGAAAACTTTATGATATATCCTATCTTTTACTAAGGTATTAAATATCATTTGATCCTTGGATTCATTTTATTTTTGAGCATGATCTGAGGCCAGTCATCTGCTCATCATTTTACACTTGGTGTGGCAGTGGCTGCTGCATCATGAGAACTCAAGGATTTCTTGTCATCCAGAAATTTTAGTTGATATGCATTAAATAGTCATCAGCCTGGAACTCAGGATTTTCCTTTTGGCACAGAGATTTTAACCAATTGAGTGAATAATGTTAGTAACATGCTATTTTATGAGCTCTTTTTGCAATTTTATATGCCAGTTCTTTATATAAATTTTTTTGGTAGATGAAACAATGCTTTTATATACATACATGCATGCATGCATGTATGTTTGAGAAGTGGTTTCCTTTGAAAATAATAGAATGCTTTTGGCATAAATTGACTAAATCTACTATATATCTTTGGGATAATAAATCTGCTAAAATACCCTAACTTCTATTTGTGATTATTTTTATTGTGGTTCTGTTTTATTCTCGTTTTTGGTCATGAAGATGGCTTTATTAGCTGGCCAATATTCTAAGATAAGCTTATAAATGTGCCTTGTTTACATGAACTACAGATTTGTGTTATTTGCAAGCAAATTCATGGTTCTGCACACAATGTTGCAAGTGTTCAACATATTACCATGCCATGTGTGCATCAAGAGCTGGTTACCGCATGGAGGTACGTCACTTTTAACTGATTTTCTGCCCAACCACATGCTGCAGGAGCTGTTTTAGTTTATATGTACTTTATGGGGTACATTCCTAAGTAGTAAAGGGCATACTCCTAATCTGAGTATTTTATGAGTGATGTATCTTTGGTGAGGTAGCTAATTTAATTGTCCAGCAGAAAAAAAAAATTGAAAATACATTGGATCATCAAGATTCTTAGATTATTTTTGTGGTTGTGAAATTGATAAATGTGAATCATCTCAACTGACCCATGTTTATGTCTGAGTGGTAACTCATCCATTCATGCCAAAAAGAAAAGATATTTCATCTTTAGAAATCAAGATTTAATTCATTTTTGGGAGAAAATCAATAAATCGTAACCAGTCCGTACACATTCTGGCTGGTTTTAGATCAAACCTTAAACTTAATTTTATCTCATTGCTCTTAGGAACGTGCTCTTTCCAAAAACTTTCCAAGTTCACATTAGAATTTAAAATTTTATTACATAAAACAAAAACTAATAAACCTAAAAAGAGAGAGAGAGAGAGAGAGAGAGAGAGAGAGAGAGATGAAAATCCTCTAAAATATTGTGTGATTTCATAGATAGGTATGTCAAAATGCTGCAGAATTAGTATCTTAAGTTTGATTGCATTTCATGTTGATTTACTTTGGATTTAACTTGTCAAGGATCGTCGACTTGATCTCTTGTTACCACTTCATTGCTTTATTTGTTCTGTTTAAATTTCAGTTGCATTGTTTGGAGAAAAACGGCAGGCAAATAACAAAAATGGTGTCATATTGTGCTTATCACCGGTATGCTTTAAGTATATCTGCTGAATTCTTGTTTTGCGTAAATTTCTATGGTTTTGTCCTTATTTCAATTTTGTGCAGTGCTCCAAATCCAGATACTGTTTTAATTATACAGACCCCTCTGGGAGTCTTCTCTGCCAAGAGCCTTGTTCAAAATAAGAAGAAGAGTGGTTCAAGGCTAATTTCATCAAACAGAGTGAAAATTGAAGAGGTTCCAAATGTAGAAACTACTGATGTTGAGCCATTTTCTGCTGCTAGGTGTCGGGTATTCAAAAGATCAAACAATAATAGAAAGGTAAACTTACTTGAAAGTTTGAAATGTTAGTGCATATTGTCTTGGGTATATCTGTTTGCCTAAATTCATTCCTGGTACATTCTTTAGCTATGTAATTGTATAAGTTTTTGCCAGATTTTTTCCTTCCTTTTCCTTGCCCCAGTGGGATGAGCTGGAAGTCTGTTGGTTTATGATTTAAAACTGTAAAGCTGCCTTTTGTTTTTAACTTAAAGAGAAAAAAGAGAAGGGCAAAGGAAAGAAAAGCATCAGATTTTGCTTCCTTTCCAAGCCAATTCTTTTCCACAATGTTGCTTTTATATATTCGTTTCTGAATCACAAGGAAAATGGTTCAAGCTGCTCTCTCTCTCTCTCCATATTTTTTTTGGTAGATCCTCTCCATATTATTTTAATCTCAGTAATATTTTCTCTTTGCCTAGAGAACTGAAGAGGAAGCCATCGCCCACCGATTAATGAGACCTTGCCATCATCCTTTAATCACTATACAAAGTTTGAATGCATTCAGAGTAAATTTCTCTCCTTTCTACAATCTATGGGTTCACCTTTTTTTTTTTCCTTTGATTTGAATTCCAATAGAAATTAATCCTTTGTTAATATCCATGATTGATTCATTCTGTTTAACAGGTAGTAGAGGAGCCTAAAGGTTTTCATCTTTCAGAGAACGACTCTACCACTTACAGGCAAATCCCATCATTCTTCCTTTTGAGAACTTAATATTCTGATCAGTTCGCTAAATGATATGTGTGTGCATAACGAATGCAGAGAACTGAAAATGATCGAGTTTGCTTTGGTAGATCTGGAATACATGGGGTGGGGCCTCTTTGCCCGTAGAAACATTCAAGAAGGAGAAATGGTAATTATTAAAAGCCTTTTTTCTTAATTTATTTTTTTTAATTCCTTAGGATTAGAAAGCTATTGTCTGGGGTTTTTCTCCTAACAAATTTATTATACAAAGATCCATAGACTTGTGGCCTGTTTGTAACTATAATGGACATTCAAATGCCTCATTCTGTTTTGGAAGCATTGGAATGCATGGGTTTGTCTTCATTTCAAGAGGTCATTGACTATCATAATAATTGATGTTAATATGTGCAATCCTAATAACTTAAAGTAATATTTTGCAATGTTATATTTATCTTGCAGTTTAAATGAAATTCTAATTCCAATGGCCATATAGAGCACCATTTTAGTTACAATCTGAGAAGGAAATAATATTTAGTATTTCTTGTATATTAATATCATCTTTGAAGGAGTATAGATAAGAGATGCAAATTAGTTAAAAAGAAAAACAGCTTCTAGAATTTCCTAATACAGCAAATAAGCCTGTGTGCTATTATATAGAACATTCTGAATACACGTGAAACATGTGTGTACTAAACGATTTTGAATATTAACATTTTCTGATTTGCTGATAACTGAAATAAATTTTTGAGAAGCTTTTGTTTATCTTCAGGTTCTTGAATACCGTGGGAACAAGTGAGGAGAAGTATTGCTGATCTAAGAGAAGCACGCTACAAAATAGAAGGAAAAGACTTGCTATGTAAGATGATTTCCTTTACTCGAACAATTTGCAAATGTTTCTACCAATTTTTTTAAGTAAAAGGGTTTAGGTGAGTCAGAAATATTCATGTCAAATTGTTTTGGCACCTCTGGTGATGAAAGTTATCCAGTGTATTTTGAAGCACTTGGAAGTGTCACTTCCTTTGGATAAAGACAAGCTCACAAATCAAAAACATATTCATCATTCAGCCAAAATCTTTTCAGTTGTACTCTAGCTTTCTGGATCTAAGCTATTCTTGAGACTGAATTGCGGTCACAACATGTGTTGCAGTTGTTTCAAGATCAGTGAAGAAGTAGTGGTGGATGCCACTGACAAAGGGAACATAGCACGCTTAATCAATCATTCGGTGAGTGAGCATTTGTTGATTCTCTAATTGCTTATGGTTGGCAAGGTGAACAGAAGAAAAATAGTTTTGACTAACAAAGTTGTATCTCTTATAGTTTTGGCATTTATATTATTTTCTTAATTGATCATTCTTGCAGTGCATGCC